ACCCTAATTGGGTTGTACCCCCTATGGGATACCCCACTATAGCCTACAGAAACAAGTAAGCTATAAGTTCTGACACTCACCTACTGCCCCACCACTGAGATGGCAGCTGATTTTCTCACCAAGCGACTGCCACGCGAGCAGTACCAGCACTGCTCCAACCTTACCAAACTAGTCAAGCAAGTCAGCTCTACGTGACCAGGAATGAATTGGAGTGTTACGATATGAAAATTGAGTAAGGCATTCTTGTATGCTGCAGGAGCCAACTCTACCGAGTATGAAGTCGAGGAGTCAGAAGAGTCGAAGCGACTGCAGCAACCGTCAGATCAAGACCAATGCAGGCAGATACATTTGAACTGGAAAGAGCGGGAACAGGTTTGAAACGGGTTTCCGCGTTGCACGGTTGAACTTCGCTGCAATAAGGGAATGTACCCCTTAAACTACATGGCTAGTCTAGGTCTTTTCGTATTCCCTGTACTCTATTTATAAACCTGATGTATGCATGCTTTTATTATCTCAGTCATTTAAACTCACTCTGATCTGAGGTCAACACTTCCGCTGCAATACTACATTGCTATCAACCCTGAACAATCCTTCGCTAAGTCCCACTTGGGATTGTAACACAGCCCAACCCCCTTCCCCATAAGTCCCTTCGTCCCCCCTGGCCCCTCGCATCGCATCTCATATTGTGCATTTCGAAACTATACCGTCCCTCATGCCACGTGCGTCCTCACCCACAGCCCAGTCGCCTCCCAACTTGCCACACGCTTTTCAGCTAGCGCACTGTAAGCGCTGTACCAGAGGCTTCTTAATAAGATTCAAAAGATATAGAGCTGAATCATGCTCGACTAGTGAATTGGTTAAATCAGACGATGCAAGATGAATCATCAAAAATTTCAGACATAGCCCCAACATTCATCTGAAAAATCAGACCAAAAGAATGTGCTTGTCTGAAAGTCAGACGAAATGATTTTTTGTTTTGTATTTTCAGATGTGCCTAAATCCTAGCAAGAGCCCTGTTGCTAACCATGCAATTTGGAAAGCTTGCTTTCTTGTGTTTGCAATGGCAACGAGCTTCGTTTCAAATGGGCAACGAGCTTCGTTTCAAATGGGCATTACAACATTCTCGTCCGGCTTATATATGGTACCGACATTACAAGTTACAAAATGCAATTTTTGCTAGGGTGTGTGGGTGGGAAATAAGACATTTGAAATTTCAAACGAAGACGTGGGTGGAGACCAAATGGCCTCCACCCCCTGCTATATAGTTGGCGAAGAGCGTCTCGCACTTCGCCGTTGCCATTGCTGCATTACAAGCAGCTTCGCTTTCAAAATATGCATTTTTAGAAAGTGTTACACACTTTCAAAAAACTTCATATTTAGAAAGCTTGCTTTCTTGTGTTTGCAATGGCAATGAGCTTCGTTTCAAATGGGTCTTCTGAGACATGAGACGGGAAAATGCTGACGAGATGGTAAAGGTTGTTTATGGTTTATGCGATGACATGTCGGTGGTGTTCCAATCACGCACGAACGAGAGGCTGGCACCGATGTTCATGGTGATGTTGTATTCTCAGCTGTTGCCTTGAATGGGGTGTCACCCCAAGTGAGTGTAGCCCAGTAGTGTGGATTAATGAGAGTTGGCTGACACATGAGCTTCAGCCACGAACTCGCAAGCAGTATGGGTGGACTCGGGAGCGGGCGTTTGTATTCTGTGTGATGATGGATGTGATGCTTGTAGGAGCCCAACCTTTGTTGCGGTCACAACCGTGCTCAACTGACAAAGAGTGCATGCAACTTGTATCCGGATACGGAAAATCTGCCGGAAAATGTTTCTTTCTTTCTTTTTTTCTTTTTTCTTTTTACTCATCTACTAGAGTTGTGCACCATTTCAAAGACACCACAAGTTTGTTCAATCAACCAACTCAAGTGTGACCGCATCCGAACCTTGCACTTTAAGGCTTTTAGCCGTCATAAGGTATTCGCGAAGTATAACTGAACTGCACAACCATTAATGTACCCTACAAATGGCCCACAGGCCAGAAAGGGACCCACCTGTCCTCCTCCCCCCTGGGGAGCTCGCTGGCCAGCACCGCACAGGACCCACCGGTCCTCCTCCCCCCTGGAGAGCTCGCTGGCCAGCACCGCATAGGACCCACCGGTCCTCCTCCCCCCTGGGGAGCTCGATGGCCAGCACCGCACAGGACCCACCGGTCCTCCTCCCCCCTGGGGAGCTCGCTGGCCAGCACCGCACAGGACCCACCGGTCCTCCTCCCCCCTGGGGAGCTCGCTAGCCAGCACTGCCCAGGACCCACTGGTCCTTTTCCGGCTGGCGCGAGGCCCCCGGCCCCAATCTCCCACGGGAGCGCATGGGGTTGTGCCAAATGTTTGCCACAGTCTTTCTTCACTGATGGTCTTTCATGGCGACCCGAAGCTATGGTAGTTGACTCGCACCGATTTGCTACGACCAAAAAAAAAAAAAAAAAAAACGAGAGATAAAACGAAGACAAGAAAAAATCAAAAGTACGTACGAAAACAGGTGGAAACATATGCAAAGTAATAAGTTATCCGTCAACAAATTTCAACAACAGAAACGTATCTGCCATGCCAGTTTGTCTCTGGCGCGCCACTGGAAGCTCGCCTTCTGGAGATTTCGCCATCATGCCTGCTGGTGCCGACTTCCGCTGGACGCGCCCCTGGATTATTGTACGCCACTGGTGATTTCGTAGCTACGAATTTTGGCATATGTACATGTGCCAATGGCGATTTTGACCATTTCGGCGCCATGAGCGCCACTTGCACCGCTGGCGATTTTGACGCCCACGTGCGTCGCTAGCGATTTCACCAAGCGCGCCTGTGGCGATTTCGTCGCCACGCGCACCTGTGAGTGTCGTCTTATTAGCAGGGCCTCAGATTGGTTTTTGGGTACTCTGAGCACTCAGTGTCCCTAAGAGGGTAACATTGATTTTCAGTGCCGTCGAGTGTGAAACACTGATTTTACAGGGTTGTTAGAATTAAACGCTGATCAATCAGGGTTTCTAAAACGTCAACACTCATCAGCATAGTTGCTACTACGGTATGTTGTCATAATACAGCGAATCAGACTGCCCTTACTTCACCTGCCAGAATTTTGCTATTTCCGTGTCTGATTGGTCAGAAATCTTGTTTGACGAATCGGATAGGACAATTGTTAACGATTTTTTCTGATCTCTGGTTGTGTACTTGACTGATGATTCGGACTTGGTTCGTCACAGAAGATTCGCCCCGACGACAAATTCTACCTCGCACAGTCGTTTCGCGCTGTCACAGCACAGCAAATTCGCCCACTCACACCAGATTTGCCCTGTCACAGCAGCAGATTCGCCCCTCACACAAGAGATTCGCCCTGTCAAAGCATATTTCGACAGAAATCCCCTTGCTGCACGGTGATGGCGCGTCAAAACAAGGAATTTTCGGTTTCAGGGTAGAGCCCGATACAACACTGACTCGTCAGTGTCCTCAAACACAAAACACTGGAAAATCAGAGTTCGAAATTACGGTAGAAACACTGAAACATCAGGGCCATTAAAAAAAAAATGCTGATGCATCAGGGTCATGATAAAAAATGGGGGTCAAACTTCAAGAATTCAGGGTAAAATTCCTGACTTTTGAGGCCCTGCTTATTAGCCCCAACTTGCACGCCTATTGTGCGGACGGGTGTACCCGCAAGTCATTTCTGAAACACTTGTTGCTATGCAGTGCCCTAGATATCAGACTTTGGAGTCTGAATCAGAGTCCGTTCAGACTTTTTTTTTGTACCTAGTCTGAACTCAAAGAATTTATTTATGTACCTTGTCTGATTTTCCAGAGTTTTTTCTTATGAGTTGTCTGAAATTTCAGCCTAATTTTACTAGGGTAGGCTGAGCCTCAGACTTGTATCGGGGGTACACTCAGCGCGCTTATCGGAGCAAAGTTTCCTGGAAGTTTCCTTCCGATATGCCCACTTCCGAGATGGCACTGGAGTGCCAGGACGTGAGCAACGCTCACTTCGACAGCTGGGACATCCAAATACACTCGTTCGTCGAGAATATCATACAGTTACGCTGAGGAAATGGTTGCGTGATTACGAGATTTCTGAAGACAAAATCTCGTCACATGTAAATTATCGCTAATGTATTGTAAAGAATAGGCGATTTTGATGCTGATTCGCTGTAAAAACATCTGCAGCACGCACTGGTGTGAATTGCGAAGTTCCTGATTCGTACTGAAAGTTTCGTGTGGCACTGTCTGATCCTCACATGCCACGCCAAGCAACAGTTTCTGCCTGCTGCCAGCTCAGCTGCGTGGCACTTGGCCCACCTGATACAGATCGGGTGAACGATCGAATCGCTTGAAAAGCAAAAACTGACAAAATCGGCACACATGCGAGAAAATGGGTACAGAACGGTAATCACACGCACGACAAAACGAAATGAGATCAGCAGAGCAGAAACAACCATGCGCTGCACGTGACAAAAACACGAACGCCGCCGACATGAGCAGAGGCGATGCACGAGCACGAGCACGTTGCCTGATGCGTTGGTATGGTAGGCTGTAATCAGCCTCAATGCTATTATAACTGCTTTTACGAAACTGCATGAACATCTTAAAATTTGAAGTAACTCTGACAGTTCAGACAAAAAAAATTGTGCTTGTCTGAATTTTCAGACTAAAATTTTGAGGCACCTCTGACAGACAGAGTTCCAGGAGGGGTGTACTCTGAGGCCTCAGACTACCTCAAAACGAATCTAGGGGCCTGTTGCTATGTCAATCGAGTTACTGCCTACTATTTTAGAAAGCATACCGGCACAGCGACACCCCCTGAAGCTGTCGCATACACAACACACCAGGCAATGCAGTGAGCTTCTCCAAATGACACCCTTCAAAAGCCTTGACCAGCCACGCTTTTGCAAAAGCACACCTCAATTGCAGCAGCAGTAGCAAAAGCAGCACCTCTGCTACAATTCTGCAACACCATCCTCCACCTCCTACCCACTCCCACTAGTGCTTCCCCTCCCCTCTCCCCCTCCCCTGCCCCTCACCCCTCCTCCCTCGTCCCCGCCCCCCTCCCAGTCCCCGCCATCACGGGTACAGCCAGGAGGAGCAGGAGAGACATGGAGGTGGGTCATGAGGCGGTGGAGGTCCACAGCAGTCGTCCAGTACTCGGGGTGCTTGCCACTCCACCGCGTCACCCTCCCATGCCGCCCCGTGCCGCCCCACACCAGTGCAAGCGGCCGCCACTCGCCGCCCTGAGCCTCACTCTCTGCTGCATCACCTTGTTGTCGTGTGTCAGCCCTACTTCCTTCTCCACCTCCTCCCCTCCGATCCTCCACCTCTACTGTGTTCCCTCCAGCTGCACCATCTGCTCCTGCCACTGCTTCCTCCTCCTCCTCCTCACCATCCCTCACTCGCCGCCGCTCCGCCCTGCTGTCCGCCCCACCACCCCCCTCTCCCCCCCCCCTGCTGCAATCTCCCCCAGCACCACTACTAGCAGCAGCCTGCCCCCCCCCTTCCCCACGCCGGCCCCCTTGCGAGCCTGCCCCACGTACCGTTCCTGTACCTTGTGCCTCCTCCCCGTGCTCCTGTGCGAGATGCTGCCCCCCCTGTTCGTCTCCTCCTGCCCCTCCTGCTGCTTCAGCTCCTGCTGCGCCTGCCACTTCTGTTGATCCTAATGCTCCTCTTGTTCCTGCTTCTGTTACTCCTCCTTCTAACCCTGCTGTTGCTGATCTTGTGACCCGGCCCTGGGCTAACATGCTCCCACTACCCGCCGCCTCTCCCCCTCTCTGATCCCCTCCTCGCCCACTCCCCTGCTCTGCTCCTCCCCTCTCCACTTCCGCTCCTCTCTCCCTCTGAAGCAGGTATACTGTGCTGCCTGCATCACCCTCTAGATCGAAGGGCGCCTGGCGAAGGGGAGGAGGGGTGAGGGGAGGGGCGGAATAGGGCGAGAATGGGCGGTGATTGGAGGGGGCAGAGGAGGGAGCAGCAGAGGGAGCATAAAAAGGAGCAGAGGGAGCATAAGAAGGAGCAGAGGAGGGAGCAGAGGAGGGAGCAGAGGAGGGAGCAGAGGAGGGAGCAGAGGAGGGAGCAGAGGAGGGAGCAGCGGAAGGAGCAGAGGAGGGAGCAGAGGAGGGAGCAGAGGAGGGAGCAGAGGAGGGAGCAGCAGAGGGAGCAGCGGAGGAGGGAGCACCTAAGGGCGTATCTCACTTCGGGTCATAGGCATTGTTTCGGTCATCTGAGTTTCTTGAACGACCAATGGGGCTAATTTCAGCTACACTACTCGAATATTACCAATAGGTCGTTCTATGGCCCAAAGTGCTTCTATGACCCAAAGTGAGATACGCCCTAAGTGGAGGGGGTAGTGGTGGAGGGATCACCTCAGTGGAGCTGCGAATGAGGAGGTCAGAGGCGAAGGCGCGCTTGCTGTCCACGTAATACTCCACCGCGTATGCCATCACCGTGCCCTGCGTCATCCCTGAGCTGCGCCCCACCTTTGCCACCTGCAAAGAGGGTTGGGGAGGAGAACAAGTGAATGGGGAATAAGCGGATGAGGGGGACACAGGGCGTGATGGCGCGCTTGCTGTCCACGTAATACTCCACCGCATATGGCATCACCGTGCTGCGTGTGAGGCCCTATCTGCGCCCCACCTTCGCCACCTGCGTCAGGGGGGGGAGGGGAGGGGAAGGAATGGAACAAGTGAATGGGGTGGAGCGACAGGAAAGAAGCAGGAAGGGAGGAACGGGACGGGGGCGGAGAGGGTTGAGAGAGGGAAGAGAGGGTCGCACAGTGCTTGATGGGGCCATGCGTGTATGTACCATGCGCAATCACCAGATGCAGGGAACTCATGGAATACCACAGAAAACCCACAGGAAGCTGATGTGGTCGACCACCCGTGGCTTATGTGATCTGAAATGCAAGGAGGGTCTGGAACAGTAGGCCCACAGGTTGGATTATAAGTACTTGTTTAGCTCCTACTCTCGGGCCATGCAGCTCATACTCTCGGGCCATGCAGCTCATACTCTCGGGCCATGCAGCTCATACTCTCGGGCCATGCACAGTGACAGGCCGTGGAGGGAGGGCGTGGAGCAGCAGGCCCACGGCGCCTTTTGACGCACGCCAGCTCAGAAAGCCCAGATGCTGGGAGAAATCAGAGTTGATTCGGAGAGCCTTCACAAGCGGCTCAGGAGCGCACGTGCGGCCTCTCACACAAGGCACTTGAGAAGCTCACCTGCTGCGAGACGAGGGCAGTGACGGGCCATGTGGGGAGGATCTCGATCACCGGGCCCACTGCGCCGCGTGGCAGGCCCCTTGGGCGCGCCGTGATGTGATTCGCGTGGATGGCCGATGTGAAGGCCGCAAACGCCCCGTCCACCCTCACCCTGATGTCTGTGTGAAAGAGGGGGTAGGGAGGCAGGGGAAAGGGAAGAGGACGATGTGACAATGAGCTCATGAGCTGAGCGGAAAGGGCAGGTCCTGTGACCTGTCGGGGTGAAGGCTGCGAACGTGCTGTCCACATGCACGCTGATGCGTGCATGGTGGGGGTTGTGTGGCGGATGGAGGGGTGGAGGCGGACAGGTGATGGGTTACGGTGGGGTAAGGTGGGTCAGGCTGCCATGCAAGCAAGAGACCTCTTTGTGAATAATAGGATGCTGGCACTGCTCCGCACGCTGCTCCCTCCAAAATGTGTATCTGGAAAGTCTGAAAAACATCCTGCAACCACTGTGAATGGTGGAATGGTGACAGTGCTGAAAATACACCACCTGCCACACATGCACCCAGCCTCCCTCTTGCCCCACGCCGCAACTGCTTCCCCCTCCCTCACCATGTCCCTGGCCCTCCCTCCTCCTCAGCGCACCAGGCTGGTGGTTAATGTAGAACCCGAACCACTCCAGGTCGCTTCGGAAGGACACCATGCGCCGAACCTCCCCGATAGGCACGCCAGGGCCGTGGCTTGGGCAGTGTGGGTGGTATAGGCAGCGCCCCTCTGACATCTCAGGCGACGTGCCTGCCACATGGCTGTTGGTGAGAAAGCCGAGCTGATGTGGCGCTGAGCTGTTGACAACGATGGGGCCCATGGTGACGAAAGTGTCATCGCATGCCACCTGGATAAAAGCAGGTGAGTGACGGGCGGGAGGCGTGGAAAGGGGTGAGTGAGACAGAGGCAGGGGCGATGAGACGGGGTGGGTGGGTGGGGGGCGGGAGAAGAGCGAAGAAAACCCATTAGCAAATGCCACCTGGCGCATTTGATAAGCATGGTGAGGGCGGTGCGACAAGACATCGCAGGGGAGATGTGGGGCGATTAAGGGGAGGGTGTGGTGGGGAGGAGCAGAGGGGCGGGGCTCATGGTGACTTTTGAGTCGACTCATGGTGCCAGGAGCAGAGGGGCGGGGCTCATGGTGACGAATGTATCGCTGCATGCGCCATGGATAAAGGCAGGTGGATGATGGGCGGAGTGGACGCGCGGGGCACATGCAGGGGCGCGGCAGAGCAGAGGCGGCACGTGCAAGGGCGAAATGGGGCGATTGGGAGAGGGGCAGAGGGGGCGACGGTAACAAAGGTGCCACCGCAGGCCAGCTGGACGGAATGGAAGAAGGTGAATGGGAGGAGTGGAGGGTTGGGCACATGTAGGTGTGAAGGGGGGGCGAGGGATGGGAAGGGACGAAACAGATGTGGATGGACGACCAGGACAAGGTGCCAGCTGATCCGGGTGCGCCCACGAAACAAGGCCACGGATGCAGTTTCCCCCATCAGCCCGCCTTTGATAAGCCCTCCTCACCTGCCCGCCTTTTATAAGCCCTCCTCACCAGCCCGCCTTTTATAAGCCCTCCTCACCTGCCCATCTTTTATAAGCCCTCCTCACCTGCCCGCCTTTTATAAGCCCTCCTCACCTGCCCGCCTTTTATAAGCCCTCCTCACCTGCCCATCTTTTATAAGCCCTCCTCACCTGCCCGTCTTTTATAAGCACTCCTCACCTGCCCGCCTTTTATAGGCCCTCCTCACCTGCCCGCCTTTGATAAGCCCTCCTCACCTGCCCGCCTTTTATAAGCCCTCCTCACCAGCCCGCCTTTGATAAGCCCTCCTCACCTGCCCGCCTCTTATAAGCCCTTCTCACCTGTTCGCCTATCAAGTAGACCTGTGCAAAGTGACGAGTCGAGCAAAACTCGGACGAGCAATTTGTAAGAACTATATTGTAGGCTGTAGTGGGGCACTCCTTATGAGGTACAGTATTGTTAGGTTTTGCCTAAACAAACCTTGTACTGCCCTGTTTCTAGTCATTCTCGTTTCATACTTTGTGACATGGTTTCAGAGCAAGTTTCCTAGTGGGAACGTTTTTTTAGGGCCCACCGTGTTAAGTTTTTTTTCTACTGCCCTGCCCGAAGCGCGCGTCGCGCTTGCCTTGCCTGCGCCGTCGCGCGCTCTACCCTAGTGCCGCCCTTAGCGGCCCTGCCCTTGCGGCCTGTCGCGCCCTTACCCCTACGGCCCGTCGAGGCCCGATTCCGCCGCCCTTAGCGGCCCGCCCTGCCGTCGCCGCCCTTAGCGGCCCGCCCTGTCGTCGCCGCCCTTAGCGGCCCGCCCTGCCGTCTCAGCCCTTAGCGGCCCGCCCTGCCGTCCGCGCCCTTAGCGGCCCGCCCGCCCCGTCGTCGCGGCCATCCCCTACCCTGCCGCGGCCCTGCTTTATCGCGGCCCTACCCTGCAGCAGCCGAGACGCGGCCCTGCCCTGCAGCCGCCCGGTCGCGGCCCGGTCCTGCCGTCTCGTCGCAGCCCCTGCCCTGCCTCGTCGCGGCCCCTGCCCTGCCACCTCGTCGTGACCCCCTTCACGGCCGGCGCGTCGCGGCCCCTGACCTGCCGCCTCGTCGCGGCCCTGCCTGAGGCGGCCCTGCCTGACGCGGCCCTAACCCTGCAGCCGTGTCGTGGCCCTACTTTTCGCGGCCCCTGCCCTGCCGGCGCGTCACGGCCCTGCCCTACCAGTCGCGGCCCTACCCTCTCCCACTCCTGGTAAGCACACCGCCGCACCCGCGCCACCCTGCCGAGCCGCGCCGCCCTACCTAGTCGCGCTACTACTGCTACTGCTGTTGCTAACGCTACTGCTGCTGTTCCTGCCGTCATGGCTACCCCTAATGTCCTTACCTTCGATGCTGAGGGTCGAGCAGTTGATTTCGAGGTCTGGGTCGATGATTTGCAGCTGTTTTTGCAGTGCGACTCTAGGGACGGAGTCTCACTATCCGATCACACGTCCGGCGTCTCTGTTGCACCTGCTGCCGATGCTGACAGTGTAGTTCGCTCGCAGTGGACCACGCGCGATGCTGCTGCTCCTCTTGCTGTTCGTAGTCACCTGCCGCCTGCTGAGCACGCACATTTTAGCCAGTACAAGACTGCTAAGACTCTATACGACGCTGTTGTTGCGCGCTACTCCTCCCCTGCCACTGCTGCCCTTGGCCTCCTCATGCTGACGTACCTGTTCCCTGACCTAGCCGCTTTTGCCACAGTCGCTGACCTCATTATGCACCTCCGCACTAGTGATACCCGCTACTGCACTGCGCTTCCTCCAGAGTTCTGCGCCAAGAACCCCCCCCCTTATGTACATCACCCTCTACTACCTCGTCACCCGGCTCCCTGACTCCCTTCGCTCGGTCAGGGACCACTTCCTCTCTCTTAACCCCACCACGCTTACCGTTGACCTCCTTGAGGATCGCCTCCTTGCAGCTGAGAAGACTATAGTCGCTGTAGGAGCCTCTCGTGGTGACCCTCGTGCCCCCTTTTTTGAGGGGTGCTCCCCCGTCCCATTTTTGCCCTCTGTTGCCTCTACTGCTGCTGTCGACCTCGTTGGCACCGAGTCGGTCCGCACTGCGTCTGCTCCTAGTGGGAGGCACCGCAGCGGCAGGAGCAAGGGGGGCAAGGGTGTTGGAGGAGACGGCGGGGGCGGCGGTGGTGGCGGTGGAGGCGGCGGAGGGGGTGGGGGTGGAGGTGGGGGTGGTGGCGGGAATGGGGGCTTTGGTGGCGGCGGTGGAGGTGGAGGCGGCGGCGGCAGCGGCAGTGGGGGTGGCGGAGGCGGCAGCGGCGGTGGGGGTGGTGGCGGCGGTGGTGCTGGTCGGGGTGGCGCTGTACAGCGGGGAGGCCTTGGTGGTGGCCAGCGCGAGTAGCAACAGCGTTCTCGTGAGACCTTGTCGCCCCACAAATTCGTAAGTGGTACGCTGGGCGTGGGAGGTTTGGGGGTGCTGGTCCTTGTGCTTACGTTCTCCGCACCAGCGAGCGCAGTGGGGAGACGTGCAGAGGGCCGCACGCCACGCACCGCTGTTTCGGCCACCTAACTGACGCCTGGCGTACACAATTTCCTGACGCCACTGAGTTCCCTCGCTGGGGTGATCTGCTTAGGTCGAGGGTTGCTATCTTTGATCTTGATTATGATGCTATCCTTGCTGCTATGTATGCTGTGATTATTAGTGCTGAGGGTGACTGTTACCTATGTGTTTTGCCCGACCCGGGCATTGAGGCTGCTGCTCTAGGTGCTAGTGAGTCTGCTGCTCTAGGTGCTGGTGAGTCTGCTCTCTCAGGTACCGCGTCAACTCAGGCTTTGCACACGTTCATCCTTGACTCGGGTGCTTCCCGCTCCTTCCGCGAATGCACCACGCTCTCGCCGCTCAGTCGGCGAGTGGCAGTCTCTCTGGCTGACCCCTCTCAGGGTCCGGTCCTTGCGCACTCCTCCACGGTTCTGCCGTGTCCGGCGGTCCTGTCTGGCTCTCTGTCAAGCCTCCACCTCTCCTCGTTGTTCACGAATTTGGTGAGTGGTGCTAAACTTCAGAACGCGTGGGTTGACCAGTTCACTCCAGGAGGTCAGCGGGTGACCCACTATTCGTGTACTCGGACGGGCCGGCACCTGGCCACATTCACCCGTCAGCCTGGGTCGAGCCTGTACACCCTGATTGCTGTGTGTCCTCCGGTTGCTGCGTCTAGTTAGGTAGCTGCGTTGGGTCAGGAGTTTGATAGAGCATCCCCCCCTGGTCCTAAGTCTACCCCCTTCTCGTGTCGCCTCCTGTCTCACCCGTCTGACACCACCGCCTTGGTCACCCCTCCCTGCCTCGTCTCCGAGGCATGACCTCCCGCGTCCTTGTCACTGGTCTTCCCCGGTCTCTCCCTCCCCTTCCCCCGGGGTCTGCCCCTACCTGCGTTCCTTGCGTCGAGGGGCGGCAGCGCGCCGCTCCTCACTCCTCTGAGTTCCCTCCAACGGAGACTCCCCTGCAAACTCTTCACATGGATGTGTGGGGCCCAGCCCGCGTCCGTGGACAGGGTCAGGAGCGCTATTTTCTGCTGGTCGTTGACGACTACTCACGTTACACCACAGTCTTCCCCTTCCGTTGCAAGAGTGAGGTCACTAAGGTGCTGATCGACTGGATCCGCGGTACCCGTCGTCAGCTCAGCGAGAGTTTCAGCTCGGACCTTCCTGTTCTGCGTCTGCACTCCAACAGAGGTGGAGAGTTCTCCTCCGACCTTCTGCGAGCCTTCTGTCGTGCAAAGGGCATCTGCCGGACGTTCACGCTTCCGACCTCTCCACGGCAAAATCAGATTGCTGAGCGCTGTATTTGCATGGTCATGGACGTCGTTCGTACGTCCATGATCCATGCGGCTGCTCCCCATTTTCTGTGGCTGTTCGCGGTTCAGTACGCTGCGCATAAGCTCAACCTCCAGCCCCGAGTCTCCTTGCCGGAGACCACACCTACTCTGCGGTGGACGGGGAAGGTTGTCGATGCGTCTGCGTTCTGTGTCTGGAGATCTCGAGCTTTCGTCCGCAACTTGTCTGCGGACAAGCTGTCCTCCCGTGCTGTTCCGTGCCTCTTCCTTGGCTTCCCCACTGACGCGCCTGGTTGGCAATTTAACCACCCCACCTCGCGCCGTGTTCTGTCTTCTCAGGACGTCACGTTTGGCGAGTCGGTTCCGTACTACTGTCTCTTCTCCTACCGCACTGCCCCCCTCCCACCCCGCCGCCGCTCTTCCTTGCGACAGGTCCTACCCCGGTAGACCCCCTCCCCCCTCAGGGTCCTGCCCCCTTAGGTGTGTTCCAGGTAGACGCAGTCAAGCCTGTCGAGGTAGCTGTTGACTCTGGTGCTGCTAGGGGTGCTGAGCCTGCGCCTGCTGGGTCTGGGGATGCTGAGCCTGAGCGTGCGGAGCTTGAGGGTGCTGAGTCTGGGGTGCTGAGCCAGGGGTTGCTGAGCCTGGTGGTGCTGAGTCTAGGGGTGTTGAGCCAGGGGTTGCTGAGCCTGCGGGTGCGGAGTCTGGGGGTGCTGAGCCTGGGGTTGCTGAGTCTAGGGGTGCGGAGCCTGAGGATGCTGAGCGTGCGCGTGTGGAGTCTGGAGGTGCTGAGCCTGGAGGTCCTTCGGGTGCTTCATCCCGGCGGGAGCCACTCTCTCCAGAGCAATTGCGTGAGTGGTTTGCTCGGCGCTACAGCCGTGCTGCTAGAGCTGGTGGTACTAGGGGCGCTGGAGGTCCTGTTGCTGCTGGAGCTGCTGGGGTTCTAGAGCCACTGGTCCCGGAGGTGCTCGTACTGTAGGTACTGGAGCTGCTGGGCCTGGTGGTGTTGCTGGGGCTTCTGGTGGTCCTACTGGAGTTGGCGCTACAGGAGCTGCTGGAGGTGTTGTTGGAGCTGGTGGTACTTCTGGAGTTGGAGCTGACGCTGGGGGTGTTGGTGCTGTCCCTGCTGGTACTGGACGCACTACGCGGCCGTGGCTGTACTTCGTTCCGTTCCTTGAGCGGATTCTTGGTCCCTCGTCTTCTACTGGTCCTACTTCTTCCTTAGAGTGTCCACCGCCTGTCCATTCGCAGTCACAGCTATAGCTCGTCTCCCCAC